CCTTCGGCTCAGGTCATGATCCTGGAGTCCCGGGATCGAGTCCCACATCGGGCTCCCTGCTCAGCGGGGAGTCTGCTTCTCCCTCTGATCCTCTTCCCTCTCGTGCTCTCTCTCTCTCATTCTCTCTCAAATAAATAAAATCTTGAAAAAAAAAAAAAAGTTTGGGGTCCGTGGACCTGGGTGGAGCAGGTGACTTTATTCCCATCGACTTAGAGGGACCTCTTCCTCCTGCGGGTCAGCCACCCAGGGCAGCACCCGTCCCTCCCGTGTGAGCTCAGCGCCGGATGTGGCAGGTGTGCGGGGTGCAGCCCTGTTCAAGCTGGCTCTGTGTGCATACGGTGCCTGGTACGTCTGTACACGCAAAATGCTGGCAGATGGTGCAGACCGGCCCGGCCTCACTCTCCTGGATCTGTGCTCTCCGGGCACGTTCTGTTCTCGCAGCCAGGTGTCCCTCCTTTGGGTCGTCTGGGTTCGCGACGCGTGGCTGTGTGCTCAGCTGGCCTCTGGCTCTGCCTGGCAGATGGGTGGGAGCTGCCCCTCCTCACCGCCAGTGTCACCCCAGCACCGGTTACCTGGAGCAGCCAGAGCTCCGTGCCGAGGTCGGGGTGTGGGCCTGGGCCTCGGGCTAGTGCCATTAGCCAGCATCTGGAACATCTTTTCTCCCCCACTCTGTTCCCCCCATGTATGGTTTTTCTTTCTGTTTGAAGATGTCCAGGGCGGTGCACTAGGAACCATGCATGAAAGGTGGCAGGGCAGGCCCCAGGGACCTCTCCTGGGTTCATCCCAGGGCAGTCTTGGGAGGCGGAGTGGTAAAGAGCTCATTGCCCTAAGAAAATGTGGGGTACTGCCAGTGGCCTCTCTCCCAGGAGTCTTGCATCTAGGGGTTCCCAGATGCCAGGTCAGGGCCCACGCCCAGGCCTGCTGCCGTGCTGCTGGAACGTGGGGTTCTCAGCAGAGCGTGGAGGAGGGGACTCAGAAACCCAAGGGAAGCCGCTGGTCTCCGAGCCCAGAGCCCTCCTTCCGCCCTGCCCTGCTTCTGGGCCTTGGCATAGGCTGTCCCTCTATGCGTTTGGGGCTCAGACACAGAATGAAGTATGTCCTTTGTGAGCACGAGGCCCCAGGGCTGATGCCAGAGCTTCCCCGGCTCCTGGTGGCTGCTGACCCTCTCCTCTACCCGGCTCTTCCCGGCGCTGGCCTTGGGTGGTCGCCACAGCCCCAGCAGAGCCATCCTGCCCCCCACCCCCCTTGTGTCTGATAGAGCCTCTGACATGACAGAGCCCCGCGGCCCAGCTCAACAAACAAGTCACATGGGAAAGTCACTCCTGCATCATACCCCCACATCCTTGCAAACCTCCCGAGACCCCTGGGCAGGGTGTGCAGAACCTCATCGTGGGGTGTCCTCTCTGCTCTGTGGGGTGCACACACAGCTGCTGGAAAGCCCTGGGTGGGCGCCTACGTGGTCTGCAGCCAGCTCTTTTTTAAAAAAACATTTATTTTTAAAAATTGTGGTGAGATATAGACAACATAAAATGTACCCTTGTAAGCGTGTTAAGCATACAGTTCAGTAGCATTAAGTACATTCACATTTTTGTGCAACCATCACTTCCAGTCATCCATGGAATTTTTTTCACCTTGTAAAACTGAAACTCTATACCCATTAAACATAATTTCCATTCCTACCTCCCTTCAGCTCCTGGCAAACACAATTTTTTTTTAAACTTAAATTTAGTTAATTAACATACAGTGCATTACTAGTTTCAGGTGCAGACTTCAGTGATGCCTCAGTTGCATACAACACCCAGGGCTCATCACATCACGTGCCCTCCTCAGTGCGGGTCCCCCAGTTACCCCGTCCCCCCACCCATCACCCCTCCAGCAACCCTCAGTTTGTTCCCTAGAGTTAAGTGTCTCGTATGGTTTGTCTCCCTCTCTGACTTTGGTTTTATTTTTCCTTCCTTCCTCTGTGATCCTCTGGTTTCTTAAATTCCACATATCAGTGAAATCCTGTGGTATTTGTCTTTCTCAGACAGACTTATTTCGCTCAGCATGGTACCCTTGAGTTCCATCCATGTGGTTGCAAATGGAAGATTTCATTCTTGTTGACAGCTGAGTAGTATTCCACTGCATATAGACCACGTCTTCTCTGTCCGTTCATGTGTCCATGGACGTCTGGGCTCCTTCCACAGTTTGGCGATGGTGGACATTGTGCTCAGCTCTTCAGCAGAGTGGCTGCTCCGTGGCTGGCAGGGGTCCCAGAGGCTGTACGTGTCCTGCGCGGGGGCGTGTGCGTGTGGGGGCACACTTGTGCATAGCGGCACATGCTCGCGCCCTTGTGTGGGGCAATGCTCTTCTGTGCCTGGAGCCCCGCGGGTAAGCGTCTGCGGGGAGTGGTGTGGCCTGCTGTGGTAGCCATCCACGCTGTGCGGGACCCTCGGCAGGCTCTTGGCCTGAGGCTCAGGGGAGTAGGCCCAGAAGCCCACTCCCTCCTTGAGGGTTGTGGGCCCCCATGATACAGCTTGGAGGCCTTGAGAAGGGTCAGGAACCAGAAGTGACTGTCCTTACCTGCTTGCTGATCTCTTGTGGAATGGGGATGCCGTGGGCTGTCCCTGGGGCTCAAGTGGGCCCTGCTAGGAACAGTGGCCTTCCAGGCCCGGAGAAGCACATCCTGCCAGGGCTTTGGATTGCGCTCGGGTGAGAGGGAGCAGCAGTCCTCCCTCAGGGCCTGTGTCCATGTCCTGGCAAGGCTCACCTGCTGGCCCCTTCCTGCTGCTCTCTCACTTTCATAGAAGGTTCTGCTCATGGGGTTTTTCCTGCTATAGGACTCTCAGAGGAGTTACTCCAGCTACCTGAAGACCCGTCCCCATCCTAGGGTTGGCAAGCTTGGGGTGGGGGCGTCGGGGAGTCGCAGGCCCTTTCTCCAGAGCTCACAGGCTCGGTTTAGTGCTCCGTGTTTGCAGGCCAGGTCCCTGACTGGGAGTCTGCCCCCTGCCCGCCTCACTCCCCCACCACACAGATGGGGCTCTGGCCCGTGGGCATGGGGCGCCACTAGCTACCCACCATGCGGGGGGGGTGACCCTACTCCTGAGTCGCGTGCACCCCTCAGGAGTGTCCCTGAACCTGCGGGAGCCGGTGCCAGGCCTGTGGCTTTTCTCTTGAGAACTCAGCTTGTTTCCTCTTCTCCCTGCTTCCTATCTGCTCAGACAGGAAGCTCCACCCTTGCTGGCGTAACCGCCCCCCCACACCCCGTCGCCCGGCCGCTGGCCCCCCGCTCACCCGCTCACAGGAGGTATCCAGGCCGTGCGGGCAGACGTCACCGGGACGCTCTCCCCTAAAAAGCACCAACAAACAGGTCTTTCTTTCCTGAATGATTGTTTCATGTCTGAGCAGACTGTCCACAGTCGTCTGTGGGTTTCCCCCCGAAGCGCCTCCCAGAGCTGGGCATGGGCCTCTGAGCTGCGGGGCTCTGGGCCTCAGGGCAGCTGCTTCTCTGTGAGGACAGAGGCCAGTGCACCCCTGCACAGGGTCTGAGGTCCTAGTATTTCCTCCCTGGGGCCCGAGGGCTGCCTAGGTCCCAGAGTCGTCCTCGACCCTGCATATTTGTCCCCCGAGAGGGGCTGCTGTGGGGTGGGGTGGGGCCCCATGAACACGCGTGCATACGGACATGTGCCGGGCTTGGTCGGGCCCTCTGCCCAGGGTCCCGTCTGTCCTGTCTCTGGAATTTTGTGATGACGGCCCTGGTAAGCGGGGCACTTCTGTTGACCACTTGACTCCCTGCTCCCTTCCTCTCCCAGGAAGCCCGTGTCCCCCCAAGGGGCCAGGTCTGTGATGTAGTATTTTCTCCAAGTGTTCCTGGAGGTGGGAGGAGCCTTTCTCCCCCCCCCCCCCCCGTTACTGGTCTCCCCTCCAGCTGCCAGCAGAGCGCCCCCCACATCTGCTCCCTCCTCCTGAGGTCAGGCTGGGGGCGGGGGAGTGACAGGGCACCGGCCCTAGGTGGGTGATTGTGCACTGACCTGTGTGTGGCCCCCAGCACAGCTGCCCCGGTGGGGGGCGCACTATCCATTCTCCACAGATGGTTCCGTTTTCTTGGGAAGAGACCCTTTCTCCCTCAGGATCCTGCGCCATCGGGTTGGGGGACTTTGTTCTCCTGACACCGGTGCTGGAGCCACTCTTACTAGTGTCCTGCAGATACAACGTGGGGCCCCTGGGACGCTGGAGGAAAACATGAGCATGGCCTTGGTCCTGAAGCCCTGGACACTCGGTGGAGAGGGTCATCCTCTCTGTTTTTTTAAAGATTTTACTTACTTGAAAGAGAGAAGGAGAGACAGTGAGAGAGTACAGCAGGGGGAGGGGGAGAAGCCGGCCCCCTGCGGAGGAAGGAGCCCGATGTGGGGCTCGACCGCACGACCCCGGGATCATGACCTGAGCCGAAGGCAGACGTTTAACTGACTGAGCCACCCAGGCGCCCCGAGAGGGTTGTCTCTTATTTGGAGGATGTCTTTCTCCTGAGATCTTGCCAGACAGCTGCTCTGGCTGACAGCTAGTTGTCAGTTCTGCTTGGTGGAGCCCAGAACTCTGGGGACCTGGGTGAACCCCCCTGATGGAGGGCACCACACTTGGCCAGTGAGTCTGCCCGCTGGGCTGCCCCTTCCCCGTCCTGGCATGACCATGGCAGAGAGGCCAGAGTCCGCAGCTCCCATCAGTCATTTTGGCACCAAGTCGGCAGCGCACGGACAGGGAGGGCTGTGGCAGGGGGCTGTCCCCTCAAGTCCCCGCCCGGGGCTCGGCCTGGGCGCCCTATCCTGGGCCTTCTGCAGCGGTGGGGTGAGGTCCCAGCGTGGCAGCCCTACAGAGCGCTCGGGGAAGTGGCTTGTCCTGCCCTGGGGTCAGGTCTGCGCATCACTCTACGCACCTCGTGCACGGTCGAGTCTGCTGGTTGGAGACCCTGCCCAGAGCGCGGTTACCTCTGGAGATGCCAGCAACCACTCTTGTATTTCTCATAGGTCTCCTCCGAGCCCCCGGCCTCCATCCGGAAAACAGATGATGCCTCCTCCCAACTCCCTACGTCTTCTGAGAAGGACAAACAGTCTGGCTGGCTGCGGACCCTGGCCAGCTCCAGCAAGGTTGTGCGGGGAGTGGGGGGTGCTGAGCACGCTCACCTGAGCACGTCTTTGGGGTGGGGTGGCCGTCACTGAGGCTCCGCACCCCAGCCTCTCACACCCGGCGCCTCTCTTCCCGCAGAGCCTTGGCTGCGTTCACCCTCGCCAGCGCCTCTCTGCTTTCCGACCCTGGTCCCCTGCAGTGTCCACGAGTGACAAAGAGCTCTCCCCGCACCTCCCGGCCCTGATTCGAGACAGGTGGGTGCCTGCCATGCTGGCGGCTGGTGGTCAACACCAGGCCTAGGGACGTGGGGGCCGGGGTTGGGTTCTGCCACCGGGTGTCTGTAATCATCTGCTGGGTGAGACCTTTCCTTTAAGGGGTTGCCTAGAGTCTCTCAAAGTGGACACGATCCAAGAGAGGCTGTCGCTCTGCGTGTCTCAGGATGGGCCTCCCCCAGTCTGCTGGGCGCTCCTTCGGTGGCCTGAGCGCACAGTGAGGCGGGCTCAGCGTGGGCAGGATGAAGTGCCCAGAGCTGTGGGCCCGGGATTCTGCTGCATTTGTTCCTGCCCGCAGGCTGCGCTGTGGGGCCGCCTGGCCATGGGAGCAGCCAGGGAGGCCAGCCACAGTCACCACAGTGCTGGTCCTTTAGACGGTGTCGGGTGCGGCCAGCTACCCCGCAGCTACTGGCTGGCATCTCCTCCTTCACCGCCTTCCAGGGGGGCAGGTCCCCCGAGGAGCCTTCACGTGCTGGCCACGGTGGGGGTGGGGGTGGGGGGAGGGGCAGACGCCTGTGGCCCCAACGCCCCTCCCCCCGTGCCCCGCAGCTTTTACTCCTACAAGAGCTTCGAGACGGGTGTGGCCCCCAATGTGGCCCTGGCACCGCCGGCCCAGCAGAAGGTCGTGAGCAGCCCGCCATGCGCCACCGTGGTCTCCCGGGCCCCCGAGCCTCTGGCCACCTGCCTCCAGCCACGGAAGCGGAAGCTGACCGTGGACACCCCCGGAGCCCCGGAGACGCCAGTGCCCGTGGCCGCCCCGGAGGACGAGCGGGACTCGGAGGCTGAGGTGGAAGTGGAGAGCAGGGAGGAGTGTACGTGTGAGTCGGGGCCCCGGCCTGCCCCCGGGGCGGGGCCGCGCGGTGCTGCGCCAGCGCTCTGGTGACCCCCGCCCCGTCTTGTTTCCGCAGTCACCTCCTCCCTGTCTTCGCTCTCCTCCCCATCCCTTACCTCATCCAGCTCCGCCAAGGACCTGAGCTCCCCCGGCGTGCATGCCCCACCCGCCGCGCCCGCCGCCCCCGAGGCTGCGGCCCCTGCTGACAGCTCGAGCGGCGGCCTGGAGGCCGAGTTGGAGCACCTGCGGCAGGCCCTGGAGGGCGGCCTGGACACCAAGGAAGCCAAAGAGAAGTTCCTGCACGAGGTGGTGAAGATGCGCGTGAAGCAGGAGGAGAAGTTGAGCGCCGCGCTGCAGGCCAAGCGCAGCCTCCACCAGGTGAGGCCCCCATGCCCCCGCTCCCCAGCTCTCCCTGCACGATGCGCCCTGCCCCTGGCCCGGCCCCTCATGGGGCTGGCCTGTCCGTCTGGGGGCAGCGGAGGCTGGGCTGCTCTCAGCGGGGAGCCCAGGACAGTTGTGGGTCCTTGGCGTGCACGCACCAGCACGGCCTGGTGTGTGCAGGACGAGGCTCTGAGGGTCCATTCCCACACGTGGGGTTGTCTGAGGTGGAGCCAGCAGGCTTCTCTGCAGCGAGTGTGCAGGCTGGACCAGGTGGCTCCAGGCACAAGCTCATGGCCTGTGCGTGCACACTGGCTTCTAGCTGATTCCATAGAATTGACCTCTTCCTTTTGAAGAGGGGGCTAGAGGCTTGAGGGTGTCTGGGCCCTGCCTGCATCCGCCTCCCACCTCAGTAGGGGGCAGACTGTGGGGCCAGCCCCCAGGTCCTCCACAGGCCGTGGCGTCCTCCACGCCACCTTTCCTCCCAGGTAGGCGGGGGAGGCCCAGAGTTCGCAGCGCCGGGGAGGGCGGCGCCTTCACATTGGGGCTCTGCGGCCTCGCTGGAGGCCCGCCCGGTGTTGGCTGAGTTCACACCTCTGCGGCTGGCGGCTGGCGTCTGGCAGCTTTGCACGTGGGCTCCTAGCACGGCACAGCCTCGCCATCCTGAGAGCCCGAGGATTTCAGATGTCTTCTCTAAGTGTGTGTCAAGCGCTCGCTCAGGATGCCCTTTCCCTGGTTCTGGGTGGAGGTGTGATTTCATACATGCATCCTCCTGCGGGGTGGGGCGGCCGTCGGTGAGGACGGGTGGAGGCGGAGGTGCTGAGGAGGGTGGCCTGGGAGCCCGAGCCGGTGCTCTGCCTTGAGGAAGTCCCGCGGGCTCTCTGAGCCGGGCTGAAACTTGCGCAGCACCTCCACCCTCTCAGGCTGTAGGCTGCGGAGCGCTGGGCCATGGGACCCTGTGGGAACGGGGAGGCAGGTGGCAGCCTTGTGCGGAGGCGGCGGGCAGGGGCGGCCTGGGAGGGGGCACAGGCTGGATGGTGACCCCGGTCTGCGGCGTGTGCTGCCTGCCCTCCCAGGAGCTGGAGTTTCTGCGTGTGGCCAAGAAGGAGAAGCTGCGGGAAGCCACGGAGGCCAAGCGCAACCTGCGGAAGGAGATCGAGCGCCTCCGAGCTGAGAATGAGAAGAAGATGAGAGAGGCCAACGAGTCCCGGCTGCGCCTGAAGCGGGAGCTGGAGCAGGCGCGTCAGGTGCGGGTGTGTGACAAGGGCTGCGAGGCCGGCCGCCTGCGCGCCAAGTACTCGGCCCAGGTACGGGCGGGGACTTCGTGGCGGGTCTTTGTGGCACCACCCGGGAGGCAGGACCCCGTGCCTGGCTGTGGGGAGGAGGGGGCACGGAGGCCTGTGCGGGGCCACAAAACACCGCCTCTGGACTCAGCTGTGTGGCAGGTCCCAGGTCTGGGCGGGAAGTGGCAGGTGCTCTCTTGGCACCTCCGGGACCCACTGCAAGCTTAGGGGACCATGGGGGCCCAGCAGGCTGATTTGGGCACTGCACACTGTCCTGGGCTTCAGGGGTCCGTCCTCCACAGGGAGGCAGTCCCCTGGCCGGTCAGGACCACCATGCGGGAGTTCTGCACGACTGTTTCCCTCCTGGCTGTGCCCTTCTTTGGTGGCTTTGCTTGAGGAACCAGCTCTGAGCCAGCCCCAGGGGTGCAGATGAGCCCCCATGCAGCCCCAGCTTCTCCTGTCCTGGGGCCGGGGCCGCAGCCCGCCCACCGTGTGTGGTTATGAAAGTCTGAGCACAGCCCGATCGGCCGTCCCGCCCGGCCAGAGTCCTGGATAAGGGGCCAGAGAGCACCACAGCCCCTCCTCCTCTGGCTGTGCTTCTGCTTCGAGAGCCTGGCCTGGGCAGCAGGCTCTCGAGGGAAACCCTGGCCTCAGGAGGTCAACAGGGTACCCCCAGGCCGCTGCTCTTGGGGTGCGTGCCATGTCTGGACTTGGGTCATGCTGCCACCCGAGAGGCTCTCCCAGGCCCTGGTCGCTGCCTCCCTCGCTGGAAGGAGGGTGGGCCGGGCCGGGGAGTGGGGGCCGCTAACACCCAGCGTCCCTTTCAGATTGAGGACCTGCAGGTGAAGCTGCAGCACGCGGAAGCGGACCGCGAGCAGCTACGGGCTGACCTGCTTCGGGAGCGCGAGGCCCGGGAGCACCTGGAGAAGGTGGTGAAGGAGCTGCAGGAGCAGCTGTGGCCGCGGCCCCGCCCCGAGGCTGCGGGCAGCGAGAGCACTGCCGAGCTGGAGCCCTAGCGGAGCCCACTGTCTGCCGCCAAGGTGCGGACGCCGCAGGGAGCGGGCGGGCGGGCGGCCCACGCCAGCGGGGGCTGGGGGGGGGGCTCTGCGCGCCGGCGGGCCCACCCCCACGTCCACATAGCACAACGTCTTACTGTGCCTATAACCAAGCGAGTGTTTGGAACCACATACTTTTGGAATCCACTGCAAAATTTTCTACTGGCCAAGTTCAAGTGCGCAAGCCGGGTTCCCAGCCGCAGCCGGAGCCAAGGGCTCCGCGCCTGCAGCGGCCCTCTGCTTGCTGGAACGTTCTAACATTTACATTTTTGTTATAAGCTATTTAAAACCAATAAGAAGACTTGATACTCAGAAAAATCAACAGGTTTTTTTTAATGACTAACTTTTAAAAGCCCCACCAACACGTGACGCCATCCGAGGACCTGCTAAGGGAGCCGGGGTGCAGCCGCCCCGCCCCGCGAAGCCATCGCAGCTCGTCCGTGGCCGCGAGAGGACAGGGAGGGTTTTCTCCAGAGTCTATTTTTTCAGCGACGAGGACCCAGGCCTCCTGTGCTGCTGCCGGGAAGAGCAGGGAGGGCGCAGGGAGCCGGGCCGCCTGACCGCCCGCCTGCCCACCAGGCAGCCCCCGGGAGGGGGGGGCAGTGAGTGCCGGGCCCGCTCCGCCTCGGCCGCCCTCCCCGGCCCGCTCTTGTCGCGTCGGGACTGAGGCTGCAGCGTTGGAACAAAACAGCATTACTTCACTTTTTTTTTCTTTTTTTTTGTTCATTTAAACGTATATTTAGAACTGCACTTTGTCAAAAATCTTCCCTTCTCTTTTTATTCCCCAGTTAACTGAGGTTTTTACTTTTCAAATATTGCAAACCCATTTATAGAGCAGTCCACATCCTAAGTGCTCGAGTGTTTAGAAACCCCCTCTGGTGCTTGGTTGAACAAGGGAATCACAAAACGAAAATGCAAAAACTGAACTTCGGGGGGTAGTTCTGTGCCTTCCAGCATCTTGTACAGCAAATCCTGACTCGTCTTTTTACCCCCGAGACACCTGTCTTCAGACTGAATCTGCCACTATCAGAATAAGTTACTTGCATTTATTCCAAATAATCTCGTTTACTCTCAACTGTTCATGCAAATTGTATAAGGTTTTTTATGCCCAAGCTTGAAAAATGATTTCCCAGTAGACGAGAGGCGGCTACCCATCCTGAAATTATGGTATTTATGTACATGAGAAAGATCTTACCAGAATTCTTTGCTTGACCCCGTTCTAACGCCGAGGCAGCTGTGAGCGCGGACGGAGGTGGAGAGTGCTGGCCCAGGTGCAGGCGCCGCCCGCCGTCACGACCAGCAGAGGCTTGGTGACCATGTCATCTGCAGGGTTCTCGCCCATGGTTTACTGGGGGGGAGGGGCGCAGGTGCTGCTGGACCCCCCTTCTAAAGTGCAATGCAAAAGGGACACCATATATATGCAGCGTTTGTTTGGATTTTTTTTTTTTTTTTTGCTTTTGTTTTTTTTGCAGTTACGAAATCTGTATGCATGGAATGTTAAACCTCTGCCGTATGTATACCCATTGATGGGCATTATTACCGGGTCCTGGAAGGGGCCGGTCGTGCTACACAACACTCAGAATGCTGTGTTCAGCCTTGTTTTTCCAGAGTTGTGTTTTTTCAGTCATTTCTTCAAGGGGAACTAAATGATTTCGTCGGAGCAGAGCTTTAAGTGTGCCCTCGTGCTTCTGGGTGGCAGTGCTCTGTTGCCAGGAGAGATCAAAGGGCCACTGCGGCCCGTTGCCCGGGGCCACCCGTTCACTTTTCGGTTTTGGGCTCCAGAGGGTGGTGAGCTTCTCTTGAGTTCTGTGTGGGGGCCCCGCCTCCCGTCGCCCTCGCCCTGCCCACCTCCGGTCACCATCTCCACCGCTGGGGCCACGCCTCCACTGGCCAGCTTCGTCCGGGAAGGTCGGGAAGAGCTGGGCGTGCTGCGGCCGGGCCGGGCCCGCCCCACCCGTCCCCGCCCAAGGGGCCTGCGGCCCGCCAGAGCTGGGGTGGTGGGGACCCGCCGTCCCAGGCTCCCCGGGCACCAGCAGCTCAAGCCCTCCTGGGCAGCTCCCTTGGTGAAGCCGGGGTGGGGGTGGGGGGCAATCGGCCCGTTCTGGCCGCTTCCATCCGAGGGGCCTGAGACCTGGCTCTCATCGTGCAGCTGCGGTTCAGTTTCTCTGCAGAAGGGAGAAGAGTCTGTCTTGTCGGCTGCTGACGCTCCCTGTGTGTAAGATCCATTATCCAGATGATTGTGTATTCAGTTTAATTACTCATTATTTCTATGCTGAAAGAGGATTTTTAACGAAGGGAAAAACAACAGCAATAACATTCATATCTTTGGAGCAGCTAACTCACACATAATATCCTGCTTTTCGTATGGAACTAGCGCCATGTAAAAACAGTCCCTGTAAATACTGTCCCTCGGCACTGTTGTATCGCACGCGTGTACGTGGCTCCTTTCTCAGAAACTCGTTTCTTACCTGGTAGTTGTCTTGTTTTCTGGGTTGTTTCGAACTGAGGAAGAACAGCTCACCTGCCCGAGGGGATGGACCCTCCGCCAGCCCCCGTGGCACCCCTGCGCCCCCCCCCCCCCCGGCCCCCGCCTCCCCCCCCCCGCCCACCCCCCCACCCACCCACCCACCCACCCACCTACCTACCCACCGCGTCCACCAGGCTCGAGAGGCCGTCTCGTTCTTGCTTTAAGTCAGGAGTCACGAGCGACATTTTTTTTCAATTAAGGAAAAAAAACCCACAGCTCTACCTTCATATCCGCCAGGAGCGTCTGCATCGCTGTCCGCGTTCCCTCCTTCGCTGCTGCTAATGACAACAGGATGACTTACTCTACTATCGAAAACTATTTTTATGTAATTAATGTATGCTTTCTTGTTTATAAATGCCTGATTTAAAAAGAAAAAAGAAAAAGCTTGGCATATTTATCTACTTCGCTGTGTACCCGTTAGTCCTTTGGCGCCCCTCCCCCAAACAGATGACATTGTACAATAAAGGACTTTGAGAGTACGCCTATAGGACAGCCATGCTTGCCCCCCTCCCCCCGGGTCACCATCTGGGCCCGAGCCCAGGGAGGGCACGGGGGGTCTGTCTGCCTGTCAGACTGTGCGGACCTTTGGTCTCCATCGACCCCAAGTGACGTGGGGTCTCGGTGGGCAGCGTCCCGGCTGGGGTGCTTGTCTAGGTCCCACCCGGCTGGGTGGCCCACGGATCGCAGCTGGAGGGGGACCGTGCCCGGGGCCTGGAGACCTGCCCCCCCGGGGTAGATGGCCAGCTCCCCTCAGGTGGTGTGGGAGCCCTGGGCCCCAGCGTGGCGTCCTGAGGGAGCAGCAGCACGGGGGTGCCACAGTGCTGGGCGCCAGGGCGCCGCCTCTCCCAGCTGCCCGTCGCTGCCCATGTCCCGCCTCCCAGCTAGCTCCACAGCGGCCCCTCCAAGGTCACGTGGAGGGCATTTGGAGAGCCGGGCGGTGGGAAACCCAATGCCCAGCCCCCCAGCTGCACACACAGCTCCAGCAGTCCTCAGGAGCCCCCCAGAGAGGGGTGCGGGGTCGGCTGGGGTATGGACCACCCCACCCAGGCAGCCTGGAAAAACCCACTCAACCTGGGCTCCAGGCTTCTGCTCAGGTCAGGCCTGGAGCGTGAACAGTGCGGACCAGGAGGAAGAGCCTCAACGCCCGCCCTCGCCTCTGCCTGTCATTCACGGGCTCGCCGAGGCCAAGATCCCAGCCACTTTGGGGTGCCACCTAGGGTCCGACACAGAGGCTGAGTTGGGGGCAGGTGAAGAGGGAAGGCGGACGGTTTATAAGCTGGGCCCCAAGCCACAGCCCCCACCTCTGTCCCCTCCTGCTGCTCCTCAGGCCCCGGGGCCCTGCCTGGGGTCCTGGGCCCGGAGGCATGGATGACAAGCTTACTGCAGCGGGACTCAGACCTCAAGAGCGGAGCCCACTCCCCTCCACCACTGCCCCCTCGGTCACCTGGGCCTGGCTCCCCGTTCCTCTCGGGGGTGGCCTCCCAGGGAGCTGTGGGACCATTGGCCAGAATCTGAGTGCCCCCTTCCTGGGTAGGGCTGGACACCTGGGGTCTGTCTAGCACTCTTGCGAGGGCTACCCCTCGCTGTCTTCTGGGATCTCCCAAGTGGACAGTTGTCCACTGTGGCCTGCTGGGGGTCCCAGGGGCACCCCTGCAGCCATGGGTGTGAGCCAAGGGCTTGCAGCCAAGGTCCTACCTGTGCCCGGTGCCAAACACTTGCCCCTTTCTCGGTCTCACGACCAGGCCCACCTGAGTGGGCAGCAGGACCTCGCGTGACCTTGCAGACTTGTCCAGACCTGCGATCCCCATGGGGCATCGATGCCGCCACTTGACGTCCCCTCCCCAGGGCCTGCCAGGCCTCGTCCTTCCCCGGAGCATCTCCTGCTGCCACTGCTCGGGACCCGTGGGCTCTCGGCTTCCCGGTCTCCACCCCGGTTCCACCGTGAAGGCCGGCCTGCCCCTCCAGGCCCCGGATGTGGGAGGCAGGAGGGGAGAGGCAGTCCCGGAGGAGGGCAGGAGGCCCATGTGGGCCCGGGAAGGAGGGCTTCCCCAGGAGGCAGGGCTGGTGCAGGCCGTGGGGGCACTGTGTGGCCAGCGTGGGGCGTGGCCCGGGGCGGGGGGGGCTTGGAGCTGGGCTGGCGGCCGACTCAGAAGCACGGGATGCTGGCCAGCACCTCCTGGGGGCCAGGGCTCCACTTTGGGGTTCACTTTTGGGTATAGATTTAAAGAGCCCTGGGTCAGGGCACCCGGGTGGCTCAGTCCGTTAAGTGTCCGACTTGTGATTTTGTCTCATTAAGGCCTCATGGGTAGGGGGACAGAGCCCTGCGTCCATCTGTCTGTCCTGGCTCCATGCTCAGTGGGGGGTCTGCTTGAGACTCTCGCTCTGCCCCTCCCACTGCGTGCTCTCTCAAATAAATCCGTCTTTAAAGGGCCCTGGACACCCTGATGCAGGGCAGACAGGACAGAAGCTGCCTGGGGTCAGAGCCCCCTTCCCAGTATTCCTGGCCGTACCCTGCCTCTTCGCCCCACCTCTGGGTCCCCTGGCTCAGGACCGCCCGCACCACTGGCAGGCCGGCCAGGCTCTCTTCAGGGGCCCATGAGGCTGTCCTGCTGCTTGGCCTCCCTTGCCCAGAGCCCTGGCCGAAGCCGGGGTCCCTGTGCTGGCAGCTCTGGGGCCCTCCCCACATGGTGCTACTTTCCAAGCCGCCCAAGGCTCCAGGGATGCGGTGAGCCCGGGGCGGAGGGGGTGCTCCTGGCCTGCCCTGTGACCGCCCCCACCCCTCGCCCCCAGCTTTCACTTCTGCCTCTGTCACCAGCAGCCAGGGCCCCACCCGGGTCCCCTGTGCACTCAGCTGTGCCTGCCCGTCTCTGTCTTGGGACCTCCACCCCTCCTCCAGTCTGTTGGCCCCAGAGCCACAGTCTGGCCCCCCGGGCCCCACCCAGCACCCTGTGGTCAGGGGGGCTGACCGCAGGCCAAGAACTCGCACCCTTATCTGGGGAGGCGGATGCCAGGCGCACCCTCCGTGGAAAGAGGAAGCCGCCTGCCCATTTACAGTAACAGCTGGTACGGCCCGTCCTCCCCTGGGCCCCCGGGGAGGACTGTGGGGTCCGTCCCTGGCGTTCAGTGTGGTCCCCAGCCTCCACCCCACCCACACCCCCAGCTGTAGCCAGCAGCCCCCTCCCGGGCTCACCCAGCCTGGAGCCTGACCTGCCTCCGCTCCCCACTGACACCCCTTTCCCTCTCCCTCTCTGCCTGTCAGGGGTCACCCCCCTTCTTGCTGGCCAGGCAGGGACAGGCTGGAGGGCTCACAAGACTCCCAAGGCCCCACACCCACACTCTGCTGGCCAGGGGCCCAGCACACTCTGGCTGACCACCACCTGCAGGAAGGCAGGCGTCCTGTAGGGAAAATGGGCAGGAGGGTCCTGCAGGACAGTCTGTGCCCCTCAGGAAAGGGTGTGCTGACCCCAGCTGGATATAAAAGCAGGGCCTTGGAGGGGGACCCTGACCCTCCCCACAGAAACCCACTGTGCTCTGTGCCCTCCTGTGTGCCCTGCCCACTGCCAGGCAACCCTGGCATGGGTGGGGGCAGAAATTTTGGGGCCTGGATGCCTGCCTGCCCGCCCCCCCCACCCCCTCCCCACACACAGCGATGACGTGAGCCTTGTAGGCCTCACATGGGCGGCCATCTGTGCCCAGACCCATGCCAGGGGCTGGGGGCCGCGGATGCTGGGGCTCCCAGCCCCTGGAGCAGGTGGCCCCTCTGTGGGGGGTGGTAGGGACAGGCAGGTGGAGCAGCCTGGCTTGTCTTTGGAGCGTCCTGTGCCAGGCAGGTGTCTGGCAGGGCTGGGGTCGCGCCTTCCTGCTCCAAGCCTGGCCCAGGAGCCCTTACTGGCAGGAAGCTTGGCCCAATCTCTTGCCCAGGTCACTCCTCCTGCCACAGAAGCTTGTTCTGGAAACCTCCAGGGACAGGCACCTTGTGAAGGATGGAGCCTGATGTCAGGGCTCGGCCCCCACCAGAGGACACCTGAGTCTAGCTCGAGGCCCAGGCAGGGGTGGGAGAGAGGAGAAGGCACGAGAGGGCCCAGCACACAAGGTAGAGGAGT